ATGAGGAAAAATAAGAAATTGCACCATGTTTTGTTTTCATGCCACCTGCCAAAAGATACTTAGTTCTTTGCATTGCAAAGCTTTCTTTGTAGAATTCTTTCCTGTGTTAATGGCCTATTCATTTGTTTTTGATTCATTTGTTTTTGCAGCGTGAGTGAAGAAATCCAGAATGGCACAGGGATCCGGGGATCAGAGAGCAGTGGGGACCGCTGACCCAGAGGAGAGCTCTCCGAACATGATAGTCTACCGCAAAGTAAGGCATCCGGTTAAATGCTGTGATGCTGCCTGCGTGTGTTTGTGTTCTATGTTGGGTTGATTGATGGTTGTCAGCTCGACCAATGTTTTCTGCCTAAACTGCCTTGACTGATAAATGAATATCGCTTTCTTCTCATATCCTCTAATTCTCTAATTCTAAAATTCAAGGAAGTTCAGTTTTGTCATATTTTGTCTTGAAAAATATTACATGATTTAACTTTTCTTTAATCCCAAAGATTGCCTAAGCAATACAGATAGAGACATACTCTCCTTTGATGTAAAGGCCTTAGTGTAACATTTATTAATCATCTGGTCTTTGAACTCTTATAGTATGTACCAGATCTGCTCTAGATGCCGTGGGAGATACAGAGGTGTGGATGTATTAGACATTTACAGTTGGTAAGAGACTTAACGTATGCATAAAGAACGGTAATAGAGTCTCAGTGTTCATTCCCAAAAGAGACGTGCAAGTGGAATGTTATATAATCTCAGAGGAGGGGGCAGTTACTTCCAGCCTCAGAGGTCCGGGATGGGCTTGTGGAGGAGTGGTCTTTGAACCCAGTTTTAAAGGGTGGGTAGGATCGCTTATGTGGAAAGAAGATTCCAGGTAAAGAGCTGGAGAGAGTGAATGGCAACCAGAACCGGTTAGCTTGGGCATAGAGTGAATTGCTAGAAGTAAATGGAGGTAGTAAGACTTTTGGGAAGAGGCTGAATGGAGCCAGATTTTAGAATGTGGAATCATAGGCAATCTAATCACAGAAAAAACTTTTGTGCTGTGAGTTGTAAAATCAACATCTCTTTGGGAGTATGAATCTTGCCCCAGTGTGCCAAATGCATTGTTATCAGGATAGGTTGGAGGCTCGAGTGGTGGATATTTCTGTATCGGTGAGTAATGTAAGGAGGACACTAATCTAGCAGGGGATGGACATACCTTCAGAGCTGAGCAGGACTGAGCAGAGGGATTAAAGAGCCTGAATTAAAAATGACTTCGAAACAGAATGAACACAGAATTAGGAGGTGAATAGAGAATCTAAAATGACTGGGTTTTGACCTTGGGTTCTAGAAAGACATTGATGCTGGTAATTCAAATAGGGACATTTGGAAGAAGAATACATTTTAAAGGAAAGAAATATGGGACATAAGTTTTATTTGTGCACATGTTGAATTTGCTTCTTCTTATATACCTTTTTAATGTTTGCATGTTTGTGAAAATTTAGCCTGGCTATATTACATATTAATAAGGAAAAATGAGTTGATGTTTATTTATTTTACTAAATACATATTTGAGCTGTCTGCTGGGTTCTGTGTATTCCTGAAGAGTTTGTGTTCGATCTGTGTTAATCATATGGGCAGAGTTGATTTTGATACTCCTGGATGATC